CATTTAAATTTAAAGCACAACAATACTTAAATGTACATTCAGACTTATAGCATCTGTGGTCCAATCCGCAGGAGTATCGGCTTCTCTAGAGGCAATCTCAGAAGGCTTCCAGACTGACTTTGATAGAGATGAAGAGCCCAGCCTCACACAATAGCAGGAATCAAATGGGAAATTTGTGAAATAAGATGCCTTCCTGAGATTTATGTCACGCTGTTCCTGTCTCTACAGAATCCACAGATTTCTTCATATATTACAGAACTGTGCTTTCACTCTCATAAAAACTAAGGTGGAGAGCATTTCAGAAGGAGACATGTGCAGTGTGTATTAGTTCCTAAGTTGTCTGAAAGCTTAGGAAGTCAGAGAATGGTCTCAGTTTAATCAGACCAAGTTTTTTCATCACCTTTCAAATAATTGGATGTATCTGGTGGTTGCAGGGTCCCTAAGAATTTCAAAGTCTAGCAAAACCCGATCAGCTTTACAGAGTTCTTGAGTCCCTCCCGGACTAACTACAAATAATTTTCCATTTATCTGAACCTGGTGACAATATCAAATCACATTATGTTCATGTGGAAAGTAATTGAAAGGTAACTCTTTAGCTCTGAATTCAGAAGTTGGTAAAAAGTCTAATATTTTCAAAAGCTATATCATTTTGAGAAAGTGAAGAAAATTGCATTTTTCTATCTTTCAAAAGAATCTAACAGTATCATTTATTGTATTTGTAAGTTACCTGGGCTGTGTTACTATGATGTTAAAGGAACAAATTAAGAACGCAAGGTTGAGAGATACAATGTGGCAGGTTTCAAACAGGACGGCTGAGTACAGTATTACTTTTTGTTGTTGTTGTTCAGGGGTTGACATAGTAGGATAAATATATAGACTGATAAATGCAACTGGAAAAAGAAGGTCAAGTAAAACAGCATTTCATTTGAACAATGGTTAGGGGTCCATTCTCTTACTAGTCCATCCCTCCCCATCCATTACTTCATTTTTTAAAGTATTTTATTAAGCAAGCTTTGTTTCAGATTCTGTTTTAGGAACTGAGCAAGCAACAAGAACAAGACAGATAAAGTCCCTGAGCTCACAGTGTCCAGTGAATAAAGAAAGAATGTATCTGGTGGTCTCATTCACCAGGAATTAATGAGGAAGCATCAGATGTCACTAGAATGGGAATGTCTTTGGGGAAAAGGCAAAATTGTTGGCTTCTCTGAGGGTACTTTCATTTTTCTACTTGTGTACTTGTTTTATCCTTCATAGAAAAAATGGGGGCTCCTCAAGAATAGGTTCTATATTGCAGCAGTCCCCAACTTTTTGGCACCAGGGAACGGTCTCATGGAAGACAAGTTTTCCATAGACTGGCTGGGAGCATGGCAGGGAGGTGGAGGCGGATGGTTTCAGGATGAAACTGTTACGCCTTAGATCCCCAGGCATTCGATTGTCGATTGTCATAAGGAGCATGCAACCTAGATCCCTCACATGCGCAGTTCACAATAGGGTTCACGCTCCTATGATATTCTAATGCTGCAGCTGCTCTGACAGGAGGCAGAGCTCAGGCAGGCAGTAATGCTTGCTCACCTCCTGCAGTGAGGCCCGGTTCCTAACAGGCCACAAACTAGTACCAATCTGTGGCCCTGGGGTTGGGTACCCCTGCTATATTGGATCCATTTCATTATCTTAGCTCCTGGCCCAGTTCCCTGCCTTGCAAGCCGCAAACAACTACAGTCATTAAAGACATTTTGCTATTATACTTTTTGTGTTTTTTAGAGTATATATTTAATAAACATTAATGCAAGATTATGTTATTTCATGTCTTTCTCAAATTCCTGTAATTAATTGGCTCTACTCTTTCACCACTCACATATTTCAGAATTCCTCGACCTCTGGATCTCATACTGACCATTGTGTGACCATTTCCAGAAACTTCCCTTCAGACATTGCTCTGCCTTGTCCTATGTGAATACTTCTTGCTCCTCCTATATTTCTATAACACTACAACTTAACTGTCTTTGTGTTCTTCTAATTCTTTACTTTTCCTCTGTTGTATTTGATGCCTTGTTCAACTGCTTTCAGTTCAATGCAATTCAATCCAGTTTAATTAATATTTGAACAATTGCTATGTACTCGATAAAGTCAGCACCTCTATTTGGAATGCTCTAAGAGTCAGTCCTCTGCTGTGTGATGGATCTAATCCAAAATTGTTTCTTGAACATCATCTGCTGGGTGACTTGTCATCTCCCCATTCTCAGCACTTCTACAATTAAATTTATCCTTTTACTTTAAAAATAAGAGCCTATCAACTTCTTTCTTAGGTGAAGGTGATGAACATTATTTAAGCCAGCAGTATACAAATCATCATATTGTATTTAAACATTTCTTCAAAAATCCCCTTAAGTAAAACAATTTTATTTCACATGTGACTTACCACCAACCACAAAGTGCTCTTAACTTGCTTTATCATTTTTATAATCTCTTCCACTGCAAGATACACAGCATATATGGCTAGATTACAAAGACAAGTCAACTGTAATGACACTCCACTCCTACAGAAGCTCTTGTAGATCCCTCAGTGTGGGGTACAATAGCTTGGGGTACAATACCTTTACTATCTTTATTTGCACTACTGCTATACATATGTTCTACATTCCAGAGAAAGTAGAGGTCTTCCTGATTGCTATGTGAGTTCTTGCTTCTGATTTTATCTTTACCTATTCTCCTCCTTCGGTGCACTTACTACTATCATTCTGAGTAATTTTTAGGCCCTAGTTTAAATCGCATATTATTAAAGATTACACACTATGTTGAAAAATACATTTTAAAAGAGAAATAAGGAGCATGGCTTTTAGAAACATTGAGACTTGAATTAAATTTTAGATCTACCACTTTTTGTGCTATGTGATTACTGAGAAATTGCTTAAAATTGTGACATTGCTCTGTGGGGAACAAATTCCTTATATTCAAAATGAGGATAATATCTACCTTGAACTTAAGAGTTAAGAAGGTGGTTATATAGCACTATTTGATTGAAATAAATGTGAAGATACACAAGGGATGCTGGGTTTCAACTATCTTGGAATTTAGGAAATTATTGTTAAAAATTTAAGATGAAATTTAAACATTTAGAGCATGATGGTGATCCTGAGAAAGAAGAATTCATCTAGACAGAAAAATAGACATTTTCACTGTGACTTGATACATTTGTAAACAAGTTGGCAGGTAATAAACTCTGTATTTTTGCCCCCAGAGATCCCTTACTACATGGGAGTAATTTTCGAAGTTTCCAGGCCATTTCATTCCTGAAAACCTCTTCCTCCTACCCTCTAACATGAATGTCACCTTATACATTTATTCTGGAACCGAAATTCCAAGTTAAAATCATGGCAAGTGGTTAAAATGGCTAGATGGTGGCCCTTAAATTATTTGTAAAATGTGATTAATTCTATTGGTTTTAGATTTTGACACGTTACTTCTAGAAAAAGAACTACTAAGTACATATTCCTTAGGTTTACTTACATACACTAATTTTTTTTTAAGCGTACAAACCAAACCAGATAGTGAGAACAGTTTCCATCAGGATTACAAGACACTGGGAATTTGCCAAACTGTTATACCTATCCACTGACCCTCCAGACAATGATCTTAGAAGCTGGACAAGGTAAAAAGAGTGAGTCAAATCCATGCCCCTAGTTAACCACGTACTGCCAAATATTAACCACAGATTGACCTCTTTCAATTAAATGACTAAATTTAAAAATAAGTACCTAAGGAAATATTTGACAACATAAAATTATACTCAGATTCTAAAGGATAATCTGGCCTTAAAAATTCTTTACTCAAGGAAGCAAAGGAAATCTTAGCAGCATGTTAGTTTCTCAATAAAACTAAGACATGTACCTGTGTAAACACACATGCATGCACACACGCACGCGCACACACACACGATAAACAATATAAGTAGGAGAGCTGAAGGCATCCATATTGTCTGGTTTATCCTAATTCAGTAATTTGATTATACTATAGGCCTCTAGTGGGTTTGAAGTTGTTATAAAGCTTGGATTTTTCTCAACTTTATATAAAAAGAGTGTTCTTTTTTGTATTTGGCAATTTTCTATGTTTTTATCCCTTTGAAAATTTATCCCAACCACTCTCTCTCTTCCAAAATTTCCTAAAAGTTTCTGCTTTGTACCCTTTCTTACTTTGTTATTTATATAGAAGTATTATGTCTGCAATTTCAGTCAACTTGTAGTGCAAAGTAAAAAAAAAAAAAAAAAAAGGCTCAGTTTACAGTCTTGATCCAACTCATCTGTTGTATGTTAGTTTTATATATAAAACAATAAATATTACTCTTAAAATATTGCAATAATTAAAAATAAGAAGGTAGTCTTATGTGAAAAAAAACAGCTAAGTAGAACACCTCACTTCTCAGTGATGATCAATATAATGAGGCATTTCTGTGCCATGAAAAAACAACAACTTGCAGAAAATTCCTTTTGAGACTCACATTGTAAATTATTTAATTTTTTACAATTTGTTTTTCTCCTACCCGATGCTACTCTTAAAAGGGAAGTGTGGGTTTAAAAAAAAAAAAAAAACATATTTCTAATAACATAGTAACTGTGTGTGACTCTCTTCCCTGGGTATTAGGGTCAACTTTTAATTTAAATATCAAGCATTTATTGTGCCACAATTGAAGAGACAGTAACAAAATATCAGTTCTCATACAGCACTTTAAATCCATTCCAAAGTGAGAAGAACTATAGTGCTAATATTATTTGCAAAACCTTTGCCAAATAAGATTAAAGTGTAAACCATATTAAAGCATTTGATGTGCACTGTAGCTAAATATACCATATCTTTAGAAAATGTTGCATCCTCTGCATCCCAATAAAGGCACATAGCAGGTGTTATTGTTCAGTTCCAGATATGTAAAGACAACTAGGAATAAACACACACTTACCTGACACCTAAGCCTAGCACATTATCACTGTGTATTGTAGTTACTTGTGTACAAGTATATGCATGTATATGTATATATACATTATACACATAAAAATATATCCTTGCCTTGTTCACCTTTCATTAAAATAAAGCATAATATGCCAAATAGTGTCTGTCTGTATTAAACTCCATTTCTACCCCCTGCTCTCTGTTCCATATTGAAGAGGTTGAAAAACTAAAAATGACATTCTTTAGACTCCTTTTTTAGTTTGATTCTGATTAGTTCCCGTCAGCAGAAGCAGCAGAAAAAGGATGGAAAAATTGGAGCTCAAAAAGCATTTGTACGTAGGGTTGATGCATTAATTCTATTTTCTCTCTTTTGCTTCTCTAGTCCTAGAAGAAGGGTTTCAGATACTTCCCCCACTTTCTGATCTCTGGATCGTACTACCATTTCCTAGTGTTTCCTGTAACCCTTTCTGACAATTTTTAGGTATATTTCTGTACCAAATTTTCTTCTGTTTGAAATTCTTAAAGTGGTTTCTATATTTTTGAACAGATCGTGGCTGATGGATATACTGAAGGCAAGAACGATATTAGTTGAACAAGGAAATACACTTGATCCAAATTGTGAAGTTCTCTGCAGTGAAATATTAAAGGTACAGATTGGAATGGACAGCAGTGTCGATTCTACTTGATCTTCTTGAAGCACAACTTAACTGCTTTGTTGTAGCTGTCAGTCCTAGAGACCAAGTGGTAGAGGGGATAGATAGCTTATCTTCACTCTCAGCACCTAATTACACCTCCTTCAACTGATTTCTTGGGCACATCACCTCTCAAACATTGCCTTTTGTTACCGCCCTGATACTGCTTACTTCTATGCCCATAACAGATGTGGCCTTTACGTGGCCTTCTTATCACCAAAAAGCTTGAAGGATATGGATGAGAGAGATACGCCCTTTGAGTTAGTATCTGCTAAAAGCAGGACTGGTTTCAGATGAGATGTCATATTTGTCATGTGCAGCACTGCCTGCCTGATCCACTGTCACATTCCTTCTTCTAGTATGTGTCACATTATGCTAGGTCGTGCCATCAGAGATAACAATAAGACATGCTATTACTAGAACAACACATTGTTGCCATAGATTCAGAAAGCTCTGGTTCTTATATAGTCACCAGAGACACATGAGCTGGATCTTGTAGCACAAGTCCTGCAGCCACCAAACAAAATATGCACCTTATTTTTTCCAAAAAAAAAAAAAAAGTCAATAGACTTGAAGAAATCATGAGGTAGTATCCTGGGGAAAACAACCCCATCGATGTTGAATTCTGATCTCCAGTGCCTCTTTACATTCAGCTCTTGTCTCACAGGAATGGCAGTCATTTAGGATAAATTGTGCCTTGACACTCTGGCACCAGACAGATTTGCAGGAGCATCTTTATACCTTTCAAAACGATCTTCCATTTAAATAGATAAGATGGTCTGGGTCTTGCCACTTTGGTTCATATTTAGAACCAGAACAGATTTCTCTTTCAGAGAACACATTTCTCCAAATTGATGTCTGGAATTGCTAAATAAATTTCAAAGAATAGATTTTTTTTCTGACCTTATTTGAATGTCTAGACATTTGTGGATTATTGAATCTAAACCATCTAAAACACCAGGCCCATGTTTTCCCCAACCAAATTTAACCTGTAGATTAAGAACACAATTATGTGTTGTAAAGTCAGAGCTTCGGGGCCAGGCTTGTTGGAGGAGAACAGAGAAGTAGAAACAAATGAAATGATCACTTAAAAAACCTGACTCAAAGGAGAAAAAAAATGTGGCATAGACAATCAGAGAACAATCACCAACCAATTTGTTGATGCTGATATTAGGGCAGGAAGGGTACAAAGGAGGGAAGGGGAAAGTGTAAGAAAATTAATGTAATTGGAAAAGGGCTAGTTAAACCTATTCACGAATAATGCATATTTACATTAAACATGTTTCATGTTTAGAGGCTACTCACCAGCTTTTTTTCATTTCAAATTCAAACTATTGTAAGCCTGTTATATTCTATTAGTAATTGCTATTAGATGGTAACTTAAAGAACAATTATATTATATGCTGGTCCACAGGAGGAGGCTGTATCAACACACCTGGAAATAGTAAAAGGGATTCCTTCCCCATTTGTTCCTTGCAAGGTGCAAAGTGCTGTAGGGACAGTCCAGTGGGAGGGGCCTCTTGAAGGGGCGAAAGTCCCAGTCTGTCGAATACCTTCACAGATTATTTCCCATTTTTAACAAGTATCTCCCTTATCATGAGGAAAAAAAATGTGATTTTCCTTCTAGCCCATATTTAACCATCATATTTGTGCATATGATTGCAGCTCTGCTGAAAGGACTTGGGAGTGAGCTGCCAGGCTGCAAGGGATTGAATCGAAAGCCCCCTAACAGTTAAAGTGTCCATTAGCTTCTCTACACTTAGCATCCGTCAGAGAGAAGACGGGCTGGGAGCCCCGGGCAAATTTCTAACTAGCCTAATGAGGAGAGAGATTCTGGGAGCAAAAAAAGTTCATTTGCTGAATTTCCAGCAAGAAGTCACTTCAATATTGCTTCTAGGAAACACTGACAGGCTTTGTTGGTAAGAAATCATTATGCTGAGAGAGAAATGGGATATTGTTATATGAGGTTTTTAAAGAAAATTCATTTTGATAGATGTCTAACTGTGCATTCAATTAAATTTCCTTCTCTTTCTTAAAAATAGATGTCAGGTAATTGTACTCAAGTTCTGTAAGCTGAAAAGTGTTATCCTTTCCTTCCAGTTATTAAAATTTCTTTATCAATATGTGTCTTTCTTGTCTTAATCCTTTGACTATGGGGGGCCCTCAATGGAAATACATGGAGTGCTCCTCTCCTTGCCTGTGGATGTGTACATGCCTTCCTGAAGAATTAGTAAGGACTGCTTTCTTTTTTGGTGAAAACTGACTTCTGTATTTAAATTATGTAGGTGACATGCTCCCAAAAATTGTTCTTAAAAATCTATATGCATGACCATTTGCTAGACACAAGTCCTTTTAGTTATACAATCACAAGTCAGCATTATTCACTGTGATGCCTCACTATTTCCTAACTATGTATCCTGCCATTTGGGAATGAGGCTTTTGAAGCTGCTTTTTTTTTTTTTTTTTTTTTTGAGATGGAGTACCACTCTGTTATCCAGGCTGGAGTTCAATGGTATGACCTCGGCTCACTGCAACCCCCGCTTCCCAGATTCAAGTGGTTCTCCTGCCTCAGCCTCCCACATAGCTGGGATTACAGGCATGTGCCACCCCACCTGGCTAATTTTTGTATTTTTAGTAGAGACAGGATTTCGCCATGTTGACCAGGCTGGTCTCGAACTCCTGACCTCAGGTCATTTGCCTGCCTCACCCTCCCAAAGTGCTGGGATTACAGGCACGAGCCACTATGTCCGGCCCTTGTGAAGCTTTTAACAATGACCAACCTGATGTTCAAAGGATTTGTCCCCTTCAAGCCACCGTCTTACTCCCAGCAGTTTCATCATTCTAAAATATAGCTTTGCAAATGTGTACACACCTGCATCTGAAACATCTAAACCTCCAGTGGCTATGCATCCCTCATCTGGAACAATGAACTTTTCCTTCTGATTATCCAGTTGCCAGCAATGGTACCCTCATGTTCCTGATCAACCAGACACCTACTCTCGGAGTCATCTTCATTCACCTTCCCATTTCTCCTCACATTCATCAGAGCCAATCACTATATTCCAAGTCATATACGTGAAGTCAATCAGAATTCTTCCTTCACAATATTGGTCTTATGTGCTCATGCATCTCCACAGCAATTGCCATCTAATTAATCCAGACTCAAATACTTTGCCTTGACTATTTTCATAGCCCATTATTTTCTTGCCTTCTTCCAAATAATTTCACAGACGGTCATATACATTTTGGTAAGATTAACTTCAACCACATTCCAATCAAGCATTCCATGACTCTCTGTCTACTGGAAACATACATCTTAGCATTTAACACTTTCCAAAATGTCACTGACACCTACATTCCAGAATTTACCTAATACTTTTACATCAATGTATGTTTAGTCCTCACAAATTATAACTATGCACTGCCATTGTCATGTCCCACACTGTTTTATATTTGTACCTCCACTCATATTCTCCACTTCAAGTGGAATATCCTCTGTCTTCACTATCACCACCATCAAAATATTAATCTGCTTTGAGACTTCTTTTCAAATTCCAATCATTTCCTGAAGCCTTTGCTGATACACCAACCAAGCAAGATTTCTTACTTCTCCAAGAAACAGCACTAATAGCACATTGTGGGCATGTCAAGTGGAGGAAAATGAAGATTAACAGTAGGTCTTAGTTTCCACAATGGCGAGATTTCTAAACTCTTTCTTTCCAATTCTCACTCTTTGTGAACAAACGGTCTGTTGCATAATAGAGGACAGAAAAAGCATCACTTCAGAATGTCTATCAATGGGAATGAGATCTCAAAAAAGGCTTTAGCGCCTTGGAGAGAAAACCAAGTGAGTTATCAGATCAAGCTAACTTTGCCTAGCTATTTTCCAACTTTCAATATGAAATTATATAGAAATGATGGGCAATTTGGGGCTTTCATTTAGGAAAGCAATGACACTGGGGTTAAAATGTAGCAGGCAGGCTATTTCCAGAACTGAGTTAGCTTTAACTCATTTCCAACCTTCCCATATAAAAATAACAGACTGACTACTAACCTATACTTTTGTGTTCATTGTCCTATTTGGCAATACCTCCATAAAGATTTTTAAGAAACCAGAGAACAAAGACTGTGACTGACTTATCTCTATGTTCTAAGTCATCAAGAAGAGATAAGTAAAGATATTTGATAAATATTTTACTGAGTTAAAGTCTCCCCTGTCAGGCTACCCTTTAAATATCTCACACTAAGTATTACTAACAATTTACAGTGCACATCTGTAGTAAATAATGTGGCATTCCCTTTTATTTATATAATACATGCAAACATCATAACATTAATTCCTCAAGCTCAAGGTGTGAAGTTCATTCTTCCATTATTGTAGTATATGTCTCCACATGCCCAGCACAGAACAGAGATGGATAGGCTCAAGAAAGCTTATTTGATGTTTCAATCAAATTACTGTTTTTAAAAACAAATTACTGTTTTTTAAATCTATCTTCAGATTAACAAGCTAAACAGAGAAGGATAACACTCAAGAAGTTGCCTATATTCCTTTGAGAACTTTCAAATGGCTCCTTCCTACAAAAGACCTGGGAATACTTAACCTCCCACCACCAGCACACTCAAAGCTCAAGGCAAATGCATTTTCAAGATTGACAGGGTCTTGGACTCTGAAAGTCTTTGGTGAGTACTGCACTGCAAGTCTTCATATTCTACCGAATGAGTAATTACCCTATTTTCTGAAAATATTTCAAAAGACGACCTTTTTCTCATGATTCCACTACAACCACCTACCCTCCTTCTTTATTGGCTCTCCTAATAATTCTTCCAACCCAGCAGTAATGCACCGTGGAGTCAGGTGAATGGTATCAGTAACTTCCTTCCTTCTATATCTTTGGCACTATCTAATGTGCAGTTTCTTTCCTGAACCCATCCACCAATAAGCCCAAATAAGTCTCACCTTTCATCTCTCTAGAAACCACAGGCTGATTTAACTGCTATTCTAGATTTTATTTTTAACAAAAGGAATTAAAGTGCAGAGATAATTGCTTCCAGAAATACTAGCTACTAGTTATACTGTCTCTGGTTTACCAGAAGGAGACACTTACATATGCAAATACACACCCCAAACTGAGTTCTGAAAAGCTGGGGTGCAGCTTTTCTCATTTCACTCATTTCACTGGGGGTGCAATGAGTTCCTTCATGTGTTTTTAGTAAGATGGACTGGTCTACTCAAAGTTCTTTCAATACTTACTCTATAAAGCAATTTTTTTAAAACCCAGGGAGATTCCGGGAGTTGGTTGATTGAGGACCACAAGACTTACAGGTCCAATATTATTCAGTATTTTAAATTACACAAATGACTACTGCTTTTAATCTCTGGGTCAGCTGTGACTGAGTTGAAGAGAATCCATTTTTTGATTCATTTCCAGGATGTTTGTAATCTCTGTCTTGTTGAATATTTGTTTCTCCTGTTTTTCTGTTTAATATATTTCGTGGTTTCTAGAGTGTTCTCTGATGTCAGGTGTTCATAGCAGAGAGATCCCAATTATTTGGCTTCAATGTACCATCAAGAGAGTCCTGTCAACTCTCATTAAATCCTTCAGTCTTATCTTTTAGTCAATATATTGAGCCTCCTCTGGATGGTATCCTTGTTATAGATTTTAATCATCTTGATTAGATGATTCTTCTGTTACAAAGTTCTATATGGGTTAGTACAATCACACAGTAATAATAAGTCTTACAAATTTGCATGACATTTCCTAGGTTTTTAAGTTCTTTAACACACATCAGGCATTTGTTCCATCAACACAACCATTTGAGGTAAAACAGTTGATACTTTTCTTCAAGTAAGTAGACAAAGGATCAGAAAAATAAAGGAACTTGCTCTAGAAACCATGGATAATAAGTGACATTTAAAATGTAACCTCCAGAGCTTATGAGACTTGAGTAAATTAAAATGAAGAAACATCAAATGAAAATGATATATCGTATGTAAAAATAACCAAAGTTGGTTTAAGAATATATTCACCAATACCTCATGAGTGAAGCTTGTATGACTAGCAGTACTTAAACTAGTACTGCTAGAAGGAGAGACGAAGAAATATCACGTGAAAAAAGCCGACCTTGGGGATTAAAAAAATTCAAAAAAAAAAAAAAAAACCACTAAGATATAAGAGATGTTTTGTTTTCAGTTATTGCCAAACTCCAGATCTAATGGTGCATTAGTTCATCTGGTCCTTTATAGCAAAATGACATAATGCACTCATTAGAGGATATGCAGATTTTTATTAGTTTTTCATTACTGTACAAACTGACCAAATTCTTGGCAATTTGACTAATTAACAAGAAAGCTGTTTATAAAAATGGAAGTCTGTGTCCCATTGTCAAAACATCAGCATTTTGAATTAGGGAAGACATGTAACATTGAGATCATGTGTTACGAAAAATATAAAATATATCCCAGTATTTCAGGAAACTGCTGGCTTCATCAGTCTGTGTCAGGGAATTAATTTTCAGTCATACATCCCTGCTGATACATCTGAAACCTGAGAAAGTCCAATTTCCTTCCTTCATATGTGTTTAATAGAGTATGAATAGTTCAAGTGTCTGAGGGAAATCAGAGGCTGAGCTAGAGACTCGCTTTCTCAGTAACAAGGAGGACAGTGGCTTCAACCTGCTGCTAACAGAGGGGCTTGCATCTTCCTTGCCCCAGGAAAGGTTTTCACACCTGGGTGAGGTGCAAATTGCGGTCAGAAGAGAAGCGCCCAATGGAAATAGAATGGACTACTCGGCACAGGAGGGCTTTCTGCCTACCCTTTCTCTTCTGCAAACCAGAGAAAGGGCAAGATCCTGTGGGTTTCTAGGGGAGGACCCTGGAGCTACAGCTCTCTGTTGGCTAATCTCCTTCTCTTTTCCCTCCTGGAAGAGCTCCAGACATACAAACAGGTCCAAAGGTACAAAAACTTCCATTTAGGACTATGAAAGGAAACAGGAGAGAGGAGGTAATCAATTTGTGGGCCGTCCCAAATTCCCTTCCAGCTAGCCACCTAAGAGAGTGGGAAGGGGAGCCTCACCTGACACATTGATAATTCCAGAAAATGCATGCTTGAGAGTCAGGTATAAAGTGATCATCCATTAATGAGTCCTAAATGAGCATTTGCTGTGCATCTTGCTCAGGTATTTTATAACAGTGAGCATAAAAACCACTGCTTTTAAAGTATGCTATATTTATGAAAATTATTGAACAATGACAGGGCTCACATCATAACAGTGACTGCTTTTCATTTAGTATTGAGAAATAATTCACAAGGTGTGGTCCTGGGACCAGCAATATCAACATCACTTCAGAACTTGTTAGAAATACAAATTCTCAGGCCCCACCCCAGATAACCTGAATCAGAAACTCAGGATGGAGCCCAGTTTTCTGTATTTTAGCAAGCCCTCCAGGGGATTCTAATGCACACTAAAATTTAAGAACCACCCTAAAGTGAGGAGCATTTATGAATCTGCACTTACATTCTTTGTATTTCCAATGCATTTACATGTCATTGTATTTTCTATGAATGTGAAATCAAGGAACGCCTTAGAAGCAACCATCATAAAAAAATTTACAAACACTAAGCAACTACAAAAAAGAAGTCACCTTTATGTAGTAATTAATTTATTGCAAATTGAAAGTCTTTTAGAAAAAGACCAGGGATTAAATCCCAGGCTTGTCATTACACTGTGACTGTGGACATGTTTCTTACCTTTTTCCACTCTCGGGTTTCCTTATCTATACAGTACTCATAATCAAAGTGTTTCCATTATAGGATTGTTTTGAGGATGGAAATGTAAATGCACATAAAGAACAGGATATTTTGCCTTGAATATAGTTTGTGTTTAATGTACATATACCTATGAATATTATCACATAGTGCTTGCATGAATCTGTTTAACAGTAAAGAGTGGACATATACATGCTATAGGTGAAGCATCTTATGTTTAAAGTGTAAATTTTGACCACATGCATATAGAGATTGAGAATTATCCACAATTAGTATATATATCCACTAAGATCTATTATATAAAATGATATCTTGGTTGGGCACAATCTAAGCTCTGATGCTTCTGACAAGTGAAGTAGGACTCTATGCCACTTAAATCATTTATACCATCGATTGAGGTTACCTAGGGGCACCAGGGACCAGATTTCAGGGAGAATCAATGCAGGTCCCAAAAGGAAACTCATTACCAGGGAAGTCAGGAAGACCAAATCTCGGGCCAAACTGAGTAACAAAGCCATGCATTGTAAATGTATTACCTCATACTAGAACATATTCTGATCTCTTCAGTGGGCTATGTGTACCGAGGAGGAGGGAGCTAGATGTGGCCATAAGAAAAGCTGTGTTTCTTTTTTCTTTTTTTTTTGGAGACGGAGTCTGACTCTGTCGCCCAGGCTGTAGTGCAGTGGCGTGATCTCTGCCACTGCACTACCAGGCATCCACCACCATTCCCGGCTAATTTTTTGTATTTTTAGTAGAGATGGGGTTTCACCGTGTTAGCCAGGATGGTCTCGATCTCCTGACCTCGCTATCCTCCTGCCTCAGCCTCCCAAAGTGCTGGGATTATAGGTGTGAGCCACCGCACCCGGTTGAAAAGTTGTGTTTCTTAACGCTGTGATACTTTGGAGTGCAAGGAACTTTGCTCTGATTCCCATCTGAGCTTAGCCAAAACACACTATTCCACTCACTTCCTGAAATCAGTGCTAGCATGAAGTGTGGCAGGGCATGTGGGTGTCTAGAGGCAGCAATGATGAGGAATGCAGAATTCTGACCTACCTGAGTGTTCCCAGCATGACTTGGTGTCACTAGCTTGCTGATATCATCAGACATGAACACCATGTCATCACTACAGTTCTCTTCAGTTTAGACAACTCTTCTATGGAACCCTAGCTATAAGTAATAATGAAAAAGTATGTTTTCCCCTTTGCCTGGGTAGTCAAAGTTTTATTTATACCAATGTTCATTTGTAATGTGTCTTCATTATCAACTTAGCATATTTTTTGGGAAATGTGAAACTACAAAAATAATGTGAGGTACAAACCCACAGCAGTACTTTGGAAGTCCGCTTAAGACATGAAGCTTAAGTTACAGCAGTGAACAATAACCAGAGGGCACATCTTTGCTTTGGAGAATACTTGAAAGTCTTGCGGGGAGGTAACCTTATAAAAGCCTGGATTTTGTAGTAAAGCAGTTGGGGACTTGGGAACAATGAATATCGGGTGTAAACGGTGATGGATCTATTTCTGTTTTCTCCATTAGGACCTGAGAAAAATCGTGTTATCTAAGAGTGCAGTTATTCTGACACAGACTCACATAAGGTGCCCATGACATGAAACACGGAAGAGAATAATAGCATCTACCTTAAAGAAAGACATAGTATATTCTGGACCACATATTTGGTAATTCTTACAGCCCTTTAAGATAATATTCTAGTTATGATTATCTTTATTTTGTAGCTCATAGATGTCAAAATACTAGCTCATAATTTTATTGCAAGTACATAGCAGAACCAACATTTGAACTCAGACCTGTCTCATTCCACAACTAATATTCCTTGAAGTCAATAGATGCCACTGATCTCTAAATGATCTACAAAAGGGGTTCGGAGGTGGAGAGGGGATGTCTGAGGAGCCTGAGGACTACCACCCAATGCTCTGTCTTTAAATAGAGATGCTATCATAAATAGAGATGCTTAAATAGAGATGCTATCACCAAGGTCTCTTTCACACATACTCCTTCTCTTGCTCATTTCTATTCGTGTACTTGGTTCTCAGTGTAAAATTTTGTTAGAAGAAAGAGGCATGTTGGTAAAATAAGAAATAATATATCAAAAATAAAATCATTTGAAAGTCTCCGCAGTGCTTTAACAATGAAAGAAATATCTATGCACACTTTGTAGTTTGCTAAATACATAATTAAATTAGAAAACTATGTAGAGCCAAGGCAGGCAGATCATGAGGTCAGGAATTTGAGGCCAGCCTGGCCAACATGGTGAAACCCTGTCTCTACTAAAAATACAAAAATGAGCCGGGTGTAGTGGCGGGCGCCTGGAATCTCAGCTACTTGCGAGGCTGAGGCAAGAGAATTGCTTGAACCCGGGAGGCAGGGGTTGCAGTGAGCCGAGATTGTGCCACTGCACTACAGCCTGGGTGACAGAGCAAGACTCTGTCCCAGAAAAAAAAAAAAAATTAAAAATTAAACTATGTAGAGTTATTTCTACAAACTGGGTTTAGCCATTGTTATTGAATATTTATTGCTTTTATATACAGTTCTGAGAACCCCTGAAATGATTACTGAATATAGATTTTAGGGTAAGGAGAATAACTTGGTGCAATCACAGTCAAATTGTTATGCCTGGATTGGTGAAGAGAGTTGATATCCTCACTCTAATACCCCCCTCAAACACACACATATCTTCAAATACTACTTTAACAAGTCTTACCCCTACTGTGTGGGTGAGTCACAAGGTTAAAGAGTTCAGGCAAATATAACAAAACAACTGGCCGAACCTCATCACCTAGGCGCGCCAGTAGGACAGAAGCACAGCAACAACTAAGACATCATATGGTAAGCTGTGTTGTGCACATTGTCTACATTATGAAGTGGGAAAAAGAAGATCAATGTTGACTCAAGTGGTCAGAAAAGGCTTCAAGGAGAAACGCATTCATGCGATAGATGACCCTAGAGAAGAGAGTAATACTGCTTTCTAAAGCAGGAACCAGGAAAGCACTTGACAAGCTCCTGGGGATCTTGATGGATTCAGGGATTTCTCAGTCACCATTACTATAATGATATGGTAGGTCTCTGTATTAGCCCGTTTTCACACTGCTGATAAAGACATGCCCGGAAAGAAAAAGAGGGTTAATTGGACATACAGTTCCACATAGCTGGGAGGCCTCAGAATCATGGCGACAGGTGAAAGGCACTTCTTACATGGCAGTGACAAGAGAAAATGGAGGAAGGTGCAGAAGCAGAAACCCCTGATAAAACTATCAGATCTCATGAGACTTACTCACTAGCACAAGAACAGTATGGGGGAAACCACCCCCATGACTCAATTATCTCCCTCCGGGTCCCTCCCACCACATGTGGAAATTCTGGGAGTACAATTCAAGATAAAATTTGGGTGGGGACACAGCCAAACCATATCATTCCACCCCTGGCCCCTTCAAATCTCATGTCCCCACATTTCAAAACCAATTATTCTTTCCCAACAGTCCTCCAAAGTCTTAACTCATTTCAGCATTAACCCAAAAGTCCACAGTCTAAAGTCTCATCTGAGACAAGTCAAGTCCCTTCTGCCTGTGAGCCTGTAAAACCAAATGCAAGCTAGTTACTGCCTAAATACAATGGGGGTAGAAGTATTGGGTAAATACAGCCATTTCAAATGGGAGAAATTGACCAAAAAAAAGGGGTTTAGAGGGCCTATGCAAGTCTGAAATCCAGTGGAGCAGTCAAATTTTAAAGTTCCAAAATGATCTCCTTTGATTCCATGTTTCACATCCAGGTCACACTGATGCAAGAGGTAAGTTGCCATAGTTTTGGGCAGCTCCACCCCACCCATGTGACTTTGCAGGGTATAGCCCCCCTCCTGGCTGTTTTCACAGGCTGGGGTTGAGTGACAGTGGCTTTTCCAGGTACATGGGGCAAGCTGTGGGTGCATCTACGATTCTGGGGTCTGTGGCCCCAGACGGTGGCCCTCTTCTCACAGCTCCACTAGATGGTGTCCCAGTAGGGAATTGGTGTGGGGGCTCAGATCTCACATTTCCCTTCCTTACTGCCCTAGCAGAGGGTCTCCATGAGGGCCCCGCCCCTGCAACAAACTTTTGCCTGGGCATCCAGGCATTTCTGTACATCTTCGGAAACCTAGGTGGAGGTTCCTAAAGCTCAATTTTTGACTTCGGTGAACACACATGTGTTCAACACATGTGGAAACTGCCAAGATTTGGGGCTTGCACCCTCTGAAACCATGGGCAGTGCTGTGCCTTGGCACCTTTTAGCAATGGCTGGAGTCGCTGGGACACAGAGTACCAAGTTCCTAGGCTTCACACAGCACTGGGACACAGGACCTGGCCCACAAAACCATTTTTTCCTCCTAGGCTTTGGAGTCTGCGATGGGAAGGGCTGCCATGAAGACCTATGACATGCCGCAGAGACATTTTCCCCATTGTCTTGGGGATTAACATTTGGATCCTTGTTATGTATGCAAATTTCTGCAGCCAGCTTGAATTTCTCCTCAAATTATGGGTTTTTCTTTTCTACTGCATCACCAGGCTGCAAGTTTTCCCAACTTTTATGCTCTGTTTCCCTTTTAAAATGGAATGCTTTTAACAACACCCAAGTCACCTCCTGAATGCTTTTCTGCTTAAAAATTTCTTGCACCAGATACTCTGAATCATCTCTCTCATGTTCAAAGTTTCACAAATCTTTGTAGAAGGGGCAAAACACCGCCAGTCACTTTGATAAAACATAACAAGAATCACCTTTGCTCCAGTTCTCAACAAGTTCCTCTTCTCCATCTGAGACCACCTCAGCTTGTACCTTACTGTTCATATCACTATCAGCATTTTTGCCAAAGCTATTCAACAAATTTCTAGGAAGTTCCAAACTTTCCCATATTTTCCTGCCACCTTCTGAGCCCTCCAAACTCTTTCAACCTTTGCCTACTACCCAATTCCAAAGTCACTTCCACAGTTTGGGGTATTTTTTCAGCAACACCTCACTCTACTGGTACTAATTTACTGTATTAGTCTGTTTTTATGCTGCCAATAAAGACATGCCTAAGACTCGGAAGAAAAAGAGGTTTAATTTGACTTACAGTTCTACATGGCTGGGAGGCCTCAGAATCATGGCAGGAGGTGAAAGGCACTTCTTACATGGCAGTGGCAAAGAGAAAAGGAAGATGCAAAAGCGGAAACCCCTGATAAACCATCAGATCTCATGAGACGTGTTCACCACCACAAGAACAGTATGGGGGAAACCGTCCCCATGAATCAAAGTATTTCCACTGGGTCCCTCCCACAACAGGTGGGAATTATGGGAGCACAATTCAAGATGAGGTTTGGGTGGGGACACAGAGCCAAACCATATCAGTCTCCTACAAACTCCACACCAGAGTCTCAGGTGACAGTATCAACAGCATAGCTTACTCTAGACGGTACATATTGATAAGGGAGTGTTCTTGGAACTTGCCTTAGGCTTTTTATTATTCATTTAATCTTTACAACAATCCTGGAAGGGAAGTATATCATTGGCATCATTTTATACCTGAGTAAACTGAGATACAAGGAGGTTTTATAACTTGCCCAATGTCACTATGCTAACTGCAATGCCATGGTCAGCAGAAATTTTTGTTTTTGTGTTTTTTTTTTTTTTTGAAGATGCCTGGATACTGTAGATTCATGAATCCACACAAAGTCAGGGTTCCATTATTTGACCTCTTTCCTGAGGGGCTACCGGTGAAAATTCATCCTGAACATGAAAAAGGGTTTTGTGAGGTGGGAGAGAACGTACATGTTGTCTGAGGTGGCAGAACACAACAAGTCCCAGTACAAGGGAGAGGAGGAACTGCCCAGATCACCTGGTTGTTTTTTTGGCACAATGCACATACCACGCAAAATCACACCCACATATACCAAATCAGGCACTTTAAGCACAACTCAAGAAGAGTTTAACAAAAGACTCAGGGAAGATTTTGCTGATTCTCAGAAAGCACTCACTTTCTAAAAGGGCAAATCACTGGGGATCCATTTAGTGTCGTTACCTATAGAGAGTTCTACTCACTGTGAAACAGCATACCTTTCAGAGGCCTGACGTGGCTCTCTGTACAGTTCTTCTGGTCTAGTTCCTGGGAAGGATTTATGTACTTTAAATCACATTCACATAAACACATGCATGTACAGACACACACGGGTTGGGAGAATAACTTTAACAATATCACACACAATACTCAACATGAAGTGCTTGGAAATGGTGGTGTAGGAACAACCTTAGTAAACAGGGAAACGTGACCGGTTTCATAAAAACCCACACACACCTCTCTTTGTCCTGTCCCCATAAAAGAGCAAGATGAATATGCAAATTTAACAGGAAATTAAAGTCCACTAATTGCAATCATTACAAGCCTACTGCTGTCATTGGCTGTAATACACAAAACGGGATGTCCATTTTTTAACCACTCATTCACCACACGTTGATATTTTTACTTTTGTGGAACTCTCAATTTATGTGAAAATAAAGTATTTGAAGATATAAAATATTCAGAGTACCATTAAATTGCTGAATTGACTTCTTCCTTTTCTAAATACCGTGTTCATTTTGAACGGACTAAGCAATTTGTAGGAGAACATTTGCCTCCTGACCTCCATGTATTATTCTCACTCCAGCACCAGTCACACAATGAGAAGAAAAATATGAATATAACTCTGTTAATCCTGCCATATAGTTTGGCTATATGTGCTAGTCACTGACTTGTAAAACTAGAGGAAAAATATCGGAATAAAATTATTTCTTGAGCATTCCTTTATTGATAAATATTCAGTAATATGAGTTTCTTTGTAGGACTTGCTAGTAATTGGGATATAACAGAAAATAAAAACATAGATCTTGTCCTCAAGGAGCTTCGTGTGTTCAACAAAGTGTGTAACAACCCTAAATTTCAGACAATAGTGTATCGTGAATTTATTTAAAATTCCTTTAGTTCTTATATCTGTTTTTCATTCTATCATATATCAACATCTGTTTTCTCCAAAATTGTACCTTGATTACAGTGCCCTCATTTTTTTTCATCCTTAGTGACTCAATCATAGGTGCTGAAAATGTTTAGTAAGATGAAACAAAATATGTCTTCTCATAAGTATGAGTCTCTAGAAGAGAAAGATATAAGGCTATTTGCTTTTATTGCAATCTGAACAAGGTTAGGAATTGAAAATATATGATGCATCCTTTCTACTTAAGCAGATGTG